TGGCACTTGTTATTTGTGGCAAACATCTATTTTGAGAAACAAGTAGTACAAATTCATTTAGGACGACATGCCTCATCTATTCAATAATTGCTGAATTGTTTGAGTAACGAGGGGTTTTTCAAGTCCAAAAAATTGGAAAAACTCTGAAAATATTAAAAAAGATATAAATTTTAAAAATGTTGAAAAATTGAAAAAAAATGGAAAAAATTGATAATTTTACTATAGATTTTATGAACATTTCAGATATTTTAACATCTCTTCACAATTTCAACCTTGGTATTTGCGGCAAACGTTTATTTTGCGAAACAAGTAGTACAAATGAATTTGAGTCGACATGACTCATCTACTCGATAATGGTTGAATTATCTGCGCAACGAGGGGTCTTTGAAATCCAAAAAGCTGGAGAAATTCTGAAAATATTAATACAGACAAAAATTTGAAAAATCTTGATGAATCAGAAAAAATGGCAAATTGATAAAAAATGATAGGGGAGGGTGGGGCAAAACGAAACAGCGAAAAACGACTATTAGACGCAATTTTTTCTCATTAACTATGCACTGATGAGAATAATTTTTTACTCGTCTTATAATTCTTTGACATGTTCCTCTGAATCGACTCATCCTCGAGACAATTTGCTATTCATCACTCGTCTGTCACTTCCTGCCGCTTTTTTCTCGAGTATCCTAACATTCCTAATACGCCTATAGAATCGTGTGGCTATAACTCTCATTACACAATTTTCCGACAGTCCTCCACGTGAAGATAAACCACTTCAGACATAAAGACAATCTCCCGAGAATAACTAACTAAACACTTTCCAGTGCATCTCCTCCAGTCGGAAGGCAAACCATAAGACAATAAGGATATCTTTGAGAACCTTGTTATCCAACTGTCTGGAACAACTGTGAGAATTCTCGACAAATAGCCCCGAGTTTTGTGATTGAAACTCCCCAAGTAGTTTCCCCGTGTAAATAAGTGAATCTCTAATTAATACAAGTTTAGCGCTGTAATGATTCAACGGGATTACCCTTTTCTCTGCACTCACAGAAAAAATATCAATTATTTCACCTTGAGATACATTCACTTGAATCAAGTAAAACAGTCCTCGGCGTTACGCCACATTATATTTACCAGAAAAATGGAAGAGTTCTATTTTTTTTACCTAATATAATCTCCAGTTAATATATTAAATTAATATAATCTCAATCAATCACAATTACTTAAATTATTAAACCTCAAAATTTTAAATATTAAACTAACCATAAATTTGTGCGTTTAAATGTTGAAATATCCTATCAACCAATAATTTAGGTAGGAAGATTGCCGATTATTTGGATAATCGAAAAATCGAGTACCTAAATTTAGAATTAGCTTATCAACTAAAAATTACATTTCATAATTATCAATTATTTTATTCACCATTAATCGGAAAATTTAGTTAATAAATTTTATAATATTTTAAATTAGTTAAATATACTTGAACTTTGAAGATAATGAGATAATCCCTCTTCAATATTGTGAAAATCTGATATTATGGCCCATCCCTGCCACCCAGAAACAAAATAATGAAAATGAAAAAAGCCCTGGAAAATATAAAACATCTCTCCCGCTGAGGATTTTCAATTAAACCGTCCACAACCCCCAACAGTTGTATTTCCGCGCTCAGATTACATTGAACCACTCGCGGTATTACACAACAGCAAATGCAATTGCATATATAATTAAACGACTGAGCTTGCCCGTGAGTAACGTCTGCAATTGTACAAAACGCGATACTGTCTCGTGCACCCTCATTCTCCCTTTAACACGTGTAAATGACATCGACTGGTTTTGCAATATTCCTAACGCCCAGGGTTGTTAATAGTGTACAAGCGTCTTGCCACTTGTCGCATCGATATTTACCGCTGTGCATGCATTCACCGGGTGCAGATGTGCGCCATCCAGCGGAGTGGTAATGCCGAGGGGTTCGGATCGTCGGACGAGTGCTGGAGCTCTCGGTATTATTTGCCTCCAGACTCTAGCCGATCTCCCTCGGTATTGTCTAGATATCAAAGGGAGTCCTTTGTCACTGGGAGGAGTGAGGGAGGGAGGGAGGGAGGGAGGAGTGAGTCTTGGGAATTATCTGGTGCCTCTGGATTTCGTATTGCACACGGAGAGAAATATTCAATAAAAATTACGTATCTTTTCCGTAATTCCGGAGCGAAATTTGGTTGTAGAAAATATTCCGGAACTGTCACGGAATTATTCTGGAGCGTTCCGTAATTTTTATCTGAATCTCCTGTGAAAAATTACGATATCGTCACTTTAATTTTCTGAGTCGATTCCGCAATCGGTGAGTGAATTGTGAGTTCCGTAATTTTTACTGAACATTTCTCTCCGTGCAGCGAGTTTTTTTTCTGTTCCGAGCTCTCGAGTTCGGACAGTTTTTACTGCAGGGGAATTCGAGGCTGATTGGAGAGGAGACAAGCCGGTCGCACCCGAGACATGTTCGTTTAAAATATCGGGCGGTTTCGATATTTCAGGTCTTGACGTGGATACGTCTGCGGTTTCAATATGGGGGTCATTTTGGGAGACGGTCCTTGTGTGCAGCGCCATCTATCGGAATTCTGGAAAATTCTAGAGCTTTCGAGGTAATTCGAGAAGTTTCGTGAAACTTCGAAAAAATTTAAGGAGCTTCTAGAAATTTCTAGGAAATTCAGAGAGTCTAGGTAATTCAAGGAGTTTCTAGAAAATTCCAGAAAGAAGGAAAGACCATGCATTTTTTAAAATATTTTTCGGTTTTTTCAATTTTTGAAATTATTGGAATTTTGGGAAGCCAAGATTTTTTGTCACTGTTAGAAATTTTTTGAAAGTTTATCATAGTAAATCTCATGAGAGTGGCATTGAATTGGATTTAGAGAATTTTTAGGACTTTGAAAAATCAAAAAAAAATCAAATTTTCAAAGTTTCAGATATTTTTTCAATTTAAAAATATTTGAAACTAGAAATCGCAAAAATTCTCATCATTTATTCCTCCTCGAAATATGAGGAATTGGATGAATGGATTTAATAACTCGTATAAATTCCGATCCCCTCATCATTGTAATGTTTTCTGACACATTCGCAGCTGTGAATTACATCCCCTCTTGATAAAGACGAAGGGCCCCGAATAATTTACGCGACGGGATTCGCGCCTAGGTGAATTCAATATCACAGAGTCTGCTTTAACCATTCACCCACCAAGGGGAGATGTATATTTCACTTTGCACGGCGCTCAAGCTCCCTGCCGATGACACTTATTAGAGGGAAGAAGTGTCATTTTGATTTTTTTATATTTCGTCCGGGGAAGAGGCCTTCACAACACTTGAAAGTTTTTCCCCCTCTCGTCGTAATCCAGAACTATCGTTTAGACAGCTTACACAGAGGGAATGAATTTATGCATTCATTTATTCATGCATTATTCTGATTCCATCTGTACACGACAGAAAAATTTTCAAAAGTTTCTTTTAAGCCGGAAAAAAAGGAAATTCAATTCGTTGTTTTCAATTTTGACACTTATAAGTGAGAGAAAAATCGATCTAATACGACAAAAATTATTTCTTGAGGGGAGACAGAAGCATATCTGTTCGACCAATTCGTATTGGTTTTAGAAATGTAATCAATATGATACTGAATGCCTCACGTAAAGAATAACGATAATTTGCGCATCCCAAAGGATGATTTCGGATAAAAATTACAGTCGCATAGCATTTTTGGGCTATTCAGCTACACTGAGAGAAAAACAAACACGTTGTCAAACAAGTCTTGCTTGCGCCAACAAAATCGCTAGTTGAAAATTGCCAAAAAATAATTTGTTTGGTTCGAATTTGAAAGTCTCAAACATGAATAATTGGTCTGCTCTCGACAGCAACGAAATATTTGGCTCAAGAGGCGGATAATTCACACCAGACGGTGCCTTTTCAGGATGAAAATATCTCATACAGAGGAAAATTTATCAACAAATATTTTATCCCTAAGTTACAAGATTGCTATCATATCATTATTATTGTTTCATTTAACGGTTCATTTGTTGTCTGTGATTATTAGACAGCCGAAACGAAAAACTACTATCCCTTGTTTCGCATAAAACAAATTTTTCGGGAGCAAAATACGTATGGGAGTATCGAATAACGAAGGAGTAGTGCTAGAAATGACATTTCTCGCGTGTACAGAGAATGCAGTTTTTTTTTAACTACTAAATCTATTTTTGCGACAAAAATTTTTCATTCCGGCGCACTCTCTGCATGTTTGGCACAAAAAAGTCCTTTTCTGATAATTTTCAAAAAACTATTTTCCTGGCACAAGTAAAACTTGTTTGAGAACTTTGTCAACCATATCCACCGCAAAATAGGACGATAGGCCCGAGTTACCGAGACTCAGTGACGAAAATAAACTCTCATATTAGATAGTTTTTCCTCTCATTGCTCAAGGCGGAATGAATTCACATAAATATTTTATACTAACCCAAAAAAAGCATCTGTTGAATCCAGGAATTTTCGTATGCGAGGCCCCCACCTGATGCAGATAAGCGAAAAATTCATCCATATTGTCAAGGCCCTTGATGCCCTCGTCGAGGGTCTGCATGACCTTGACTGCATGCTCAGCCAGTGCTGTGCTGTTCGTTTGCTCCTCCTTAGTCTTCAGCTCCCGGAATTTCGTAAATAAATTGAGCAGATCGGCATTGTCCTCAAAGAGCCTGCAATAAAATTCCAATATCATCTCAAAGCCCGCGGAAATAGTTAGCGAGTCAACTAACTCACGGAACACAAGACCAGGAACGTCTTTTTTTTCTATTCATTCGATAACGATATTTCCGAGAATAGGACGTCATATATGCGACTTATCGATCGGAGAAAAATGTCGACTCGTCACGCGACGCGTCAGCGTCACGCGAGTTTTTCGGGTGGATTTTTTTTTTCGGAGGGAATAGCGAGGGTTTGGTATTTGACATAATTCGGGGCCGGTTTAGGCGACCGAGGCGCATCCAGTCGATATCTAGCGGAATGCTAGGAATTATTTCGCTTCTGAGATCGTACGGGGAGAAAAAAATCGGGAAATGTTGCTGAAAGACTCAAGTAATATTCCGGAGATTCCGCAAGAAACGCACCGCAACGCTTGCAATTTTCAAGTTGAACGGTTGTTTTTAAGGATGTTCAGCTAAAACCCGCATTATTCTCAATAATTTTAATATTGTCGCATATGCCAGGTTCCCATTTGAGCCGCACGTTAGTAATAATCTGAATCCTTCCATCGGGGTATCCTAGTGAGAAATTAACTTCTGAAAATTACTTCTTGTAACGTTACGCTTAGGGAAGAAACGTGATCGTGTAAACTTTGATCGAGATGTTGCATGGGTTAAACACTCAAGATATTGAAAAAAACCACAAGCCATTTACTTTAGACTATGGAGAAATCTATCGCCGGCGAGAACAAGTAGGGGACCGGGCCATATAGGCGTGATATCTTCGATTGATTTGCGAATTCCTCTAAAAAAAATTTGACCGCCATTACGAGTCGAGCAACGCGACAACACCGCACAACAGCTGATCGAGGTCGGTAAAGTCGGTGACGATAATTCAGTGCTGGAAGCATATGGACACGTATAACACACACAAACATTCATCTCACTGTTACAACCCCACTACTAGCCGAAGCGTGCGATGTTGCCCGATCAAAATTCGACTGTTACCACTGCAGCCACAAGTCGTCCATTATCTATGAATATTTTCTTTAATTATTGTTTTCGAGACCGTAAAAGTACGCCACAACACTTCTAATTTGATGAGAAAAAAAATTTGTAATGTGAATGATTTATTCAGTTAATTTTGTTCTTATTTTCAACTTTAGTGGAAAAATGAAATCAGAAAATGTATTAAAGTGCATGAGAAGTAAGAAAACTGAAAAAAAAATAGGAACGAGGACGATGAACTCCTTTGAGCGAAGGGTGAGGAGTAAATATCTATGAATATTTTCTTTAATTATTGTTTTCGAGACCGTAAAAGTACGCCACAACACTTCTAATTTGATGAGAAAAATAATTTGTAACGTGAATGATTTATT